AGATCTTGAGATTGGGATTCAGACATAAAACCCTTTAAAAACTTGGTTTTTTTCTTGATCACTAGCTAATGTCTCTTAGGTACAAAAGCAAGTGATTTGCACTAAAGAAAATGAAATTGGACCGTGAGATTATACAAAACGGTGAAACTCTCTATTTGTATTTTATATATTATTTTTTTCATAAATTTCTCTAATATTAATTTTTTACCGGACTTAGGAAAATTTATAATCCTTATAAATTTTGATAAATACTAAATTTAGTCCTTGACTTTTAACATAAATACAAAATATTATCTTAACATTTCATTTAAATAAATCCTATAGATTAGGGGTTTGGCGGGTTTTTTTTTTTTTTAACCTAGCTATATATTTTAAGAATTCTTATGGGTCACATAAAATTCTAGCTAGGATTTTTTTTTTTTTTTAGATCTTTGGTTCCACGATGAGAGACAACCATCCCTCATCTCTTATTCCACTCCACCCCACCTGCATGCCATGCGATTTAAACTCAAGATCTTTTATTACCAATGAAAATAGATAACCACTGATTTATTTAAATCATTTGTAATTCTAGCTAGGATTTCAATTATAGAATTAACAAAAGTGACTAATAATACTATGATAAGAAAATGCTGGGACCATTAGTTTAAATAAAAAGTTGAGACAGTATTTCACATTTATAGTAAAATTAAGTTGGAATTAAATTCAATATTTACTTTATAAAACTTAAATAAAATCTCATTACAAAATTTGCCTTATGAAGTTCGTTAATATCTTAATGAAGTTTGGGTTAATCAATTAATGACTTAGAAGTTAAGGTCTCACAATTTTAAGAATGCGGATTAATTTAACTTTCATAAATAATGATTTTTTTCCAAATCTTTTCTGATTTTATGTGGATGAAATCTAATTTGTCCTTTCACATTATAGCCATTTTTACAAATCCAACGAACTGAAATGGTAGTGTCATGTATCGCAATTTACACGTTGATGAATGAAATGCTTTAATCAATTTTTTTTTTCTTCATTTTTTTGGTTACAGGAGATTCGTGTGGGGGCAGAGGGGCTGGATTTGTTTTTGAACCAAACTTAAAGGATATATTCAGGAGTCCTCACGTTGGTGTTGCCACTTGAGCCACTACATGTGGATGATTGATTATCTTTTCAATCGTTTACTTTTGCCAAGCCAACGATATTAATAGCTTGATAATGATTTATTTATTTATTTATAAAAGTAAAAAGTTAAAATTTAAGTTGTATGCAAGAATAATGAAAAAATGGATGAGAGATGATAAAAAAAAAAACTACTCATAAAAGAAGGCATAGTTATGGTTACTATTGAAATGTTAAAAGGCGACATAATTTTATAAATATTGTTTATTAAAATATTGATCATGTTTTGTTCAATAATTAAAATAACTATAATTATAATTATTAGTTGATAATTAATAAAATAATTGATTTGTACTATTTAACAAACTAAAATCAATTTATATATTCATATTTTTAAATATTATAATTATTTATTTATAAATAAATATCAAAATATGAATGACCTTAGCAATTTAATAGGCAATGATAGGTACACTTATAAAACAACCTTTAATAAGGAGCCATGCATATGTTCATTTTTAATTTTACTTCAAACCCATGTATTTTACATTCTACTTAGCGGTCTCAAATCAAAATAATGTCTTTTTAGAAGGCGATTTAATAGTTAAAACATTGTTTATTTATTTTAGAGATTTTTTTTTTTTGGTTGTACAATAAAAAGGAACTACTTTCTATCCCTTATCACATCTCACCCGCACACCATGAGATTCAAATTTAGAACCTCCTATTTTTCACAGAAGGAGATGATTATTGAGTTATTTAAGTTATTAACTCTATCTTAGAGATTTTAAATCTAAATTTAGATGAAATGATTGGTGACAAAATTTCAAATTTACCTTTTAAATAGGAAGGTAGAAATAGATTCACTTTTAAAAAAAATATAGGGATAAATTCTATCTCTAAATTATTGATCAAAATAAATTAATAACCTATTATTTAACATATGATGTCATCACATATTAGCTTTTTATTAAAAATGCTTAGATAACAAATAGATTTCTAATATGTCATAATATTATATATTAAATAATAAATAACTTATTTTAATTGATAGTTTAAAAAAATAATTTATCTTTATTTTTTTAAAGGTAAATTTATTTTTACTCTCTTATTTCAGGGATGAATATGAAAATTCTGTCATCATTGACAAAGGAGGATTAGGGCCATCCCTCGTATAGTACGTTGTTTAAAAAGGAAAATCAAATGAGTTATGTTGGATTTTTTTAACATAATCGAGTAATTTAATCAAAGTTTAGAGATTATAAATCTTTAATCACAT